TTTAATACTAGTCCAATTGAGGCAAGAAACGCATTAAGCAATGATTTTTCCGCTGTTAACTCTAGTTGTATACAAGTTGTGTCATGTTTGTGACTGACTGCCTCCTCTTCTTAATATTATTTCTGTTTATTAGCTGTAGATTTTCCTATAATATAATAAATAAAATAAGTCAAGTCGCAAGGCTAACCTGCAGAATACTATTATTACATGCTTATCTATAGTCGAGTAGAAGTAATTACAGAAGTAAAAATAATAAAAAAGTAACTATTTTTATCCAATAATATACTCAAATAATTATTACTAAAATCAACATTCGACATAGTGTACTCGTCCGCCATTTGTCCTGCTCTGATTAATATATTTTTAATTTCATAAAGTACCTATCATGGCCCATCCTCCTTAACCATCCATAAGGTAGGCCTGAGCCCCTGCAGTGGGGACGTAAAAGGGCTGATGATGATAATGATGAAAATACCTATGATAGAACACGATAAAGTTTTCGGTAAATCTTACCGAAGACTGGGAGAGAATGTCTAAGGCATTAAGTCCGCCAATGTACATTTTTTTGTGCATAAAGATATAAATTAATAAAATTAGTTTTAATAGTACATCTTTAGAATTAAAATCCATGCTATAACCACAGAACATAGAGAGAGAGCTATAACGGTAACAGTTTTTTCGTTCTGGTACTTTAAATTGGGTGTTGTAAAACACTATTAAGTCATTTTTAATTTAATATTTGAAATGCCGCAATTCTGTAACTTTTGTAAGGATAACTTTATGCCTCTTAATACCACAAAGCCCCAATATCAGTGGTAAAATAAATGTCATATAAGGATTACTAAATAAATTCAATTTGAAAAATTTTAAGGAAAATTTTCTAAACATTCACTAACTAGGTATGAGTTAGTGAATGTTTAATTAGGTCTACATAATAATTTTTTTTTTGCATAAATGTTTGATCCAAGACATTTTACCTAGAATAATAAGTTATATTGTCAGTAATATTAAAATACCTCATTTAAGTGTATGTATTACAAATTGTTTATAAAATTTATTAGGTCATCAATTATTTGTCAATTTTTTTAAATTACTATTAATGATGTAAAATTATTTTCAAATTTAATGGTGCTTTTAATATTTCATCAATATTTAACATTAATAAGGGAATTAAATAATTGCGATTTAATATCAAATTTTTTGTTCTTTTTATTTCGTAACTGACAAACGATGGCAATCAGAATATTTTAATATCTTCATTGAAACGTTACGGTATAGCGTTCTTTTATCGATTGTTTGCAGTGAACACTGTGTCTCGTAATTTGGACTTTATTGGATTTTGTTCATATAGGGTACAGTCAGCGTCATAAATATCGAATCGCCAAAGGTAATTCAATACTTATTTCAATTACAAAATTTCAATTATACGAGTATCTCGACGTCCAAAGTCACATATTAATCGAAGTATGAATGAATTAATTATTTATTTATTTTAGTACAAACAAGATATAATTTATGCGATTGCATCTCAGGATTGCACCAAAAATTGGTCACACGCTGGTTTTCAATTGACACCTGTATTTTTTTCCCTTTTTCGACACAAGGATATCAGTGGATAATAAAATGAAGTAACTTAAAACATCGTAAGTAATCAGTGGTTACAGTTCATGGAATTTTATACCGTTACTCAATGTATTTTTGATGTACGTAGTGATCTAAATATCTTTGTAACATTTCTTTAAATTTATATACTAACAACTTGTTTTGAATCTTTTGACTCGATTCCTGTCGAATACAGTGGAAAAGTGTTATATTATAAGTATAAAATTTAAGAAAGGGTACACACACATTTTGATCACTTGAATTAGCTCAAATGCAACTTTGAATTTACATTTTTGGTCACCTTGGGCACTTCGATGATTATGACTCCAACTGTACCTACACCTATATTTATAACGCTTATAACCAATGCCGACGTAACACGGCACATTTAAATTAACTACCACCGTAGCGGAGTGGAAAAAATACCGTCTTTAATAATTTTCTTTTTTAGTATTTAATATTTTTTTAAAATTTTTAACGCTGTTTTCTTTTTTCTTTGTTTACTTCATTTATCACACCTGCTTTGCTATTCTGCTAAGAATACAGCCGTCGTCGTCGTCGAAGCAGGGCTGTTACATCATAGAGCTTCAATGAAATAAAAACTTTATTACCTCTGGAAGTAGGAGGAGGATTGAAGTTATTTGATTGATCCTCTATACTAAAGCGCTTCGTTTAATGACGATTACGAGATTTTTTTTATAACAGACTAACACTACAGCTCTGTGACCGCCTAATTCATAGCTAGTGCCATAGTCAAGCAGGCCAATTCTGCTAAGATTTACGTAATACTTTCATTTCAATAGATTCTCAACGACTTGTAAACGACATTTCACTAGTAGGTAATATTGGACTCGAAATCGAAGTCCAATATTACCTACAAGTGAAATGTCTTCGTCACCATCAATAGTGGTGGTGGTGACACGTGTATAATAATATTGGAATTCAGGTCGATTCAGATACTTTCAGAGTACAATGGCATAATGCAAATATTTGATATTAAATCGAGATGTGATTATTGTTACGTTAACATTCTGTAAAAAAACGGCTTTAACTCGACTTGTTAAAACAAAATGCTATCAGAGAATAGAGGTTCGATTAAATAAAGGTTTATTAGACGGACTTCGGTAATAGAGGTTAGTTTTTTCATAAAACCTCTCTGCCGTAATAGTGTTTATTATGTCCTAGGTTTTTAGCATGCAAACTCTTTTGTCTTTGATATTCAACATCATGTTTACTATTCACCTTTCGTAATTTGAAATTTTGACTAATCCAATATGCTCTTTCGAATGTCAGTTCGTAAAATTGATCTAGTGTATTTTAAAATAATGAAGTTATTATAATAAAAATATAAATTATATATTATTTAAAATAATATTATATCTTGAAATATCGTCCAAGATTGTAGATTAAAGGAAACCCAAAAAGGGGTATGTATTTGTTCTATTTAGCAATTGTTATTTTATATTTAGGTAACTTACGCACTGTTTTTATATTCATTTTTTGTTTGTTACAGTTTTTTCTTTACACTACTTATTTACTATAAAATAAATCAATTCTCAAGGTTAGTCAGCTTTTCATTAATTCGCCCAATTATCGAACTCGTCAAAGTGCTGTGCTTGATCTGGTGTGAGATTCCATTACAGAATAGCACAAACGAAGAATCCTCCATGCTGACTGTTCTCTCAGCTACGAGAATCGCGATCCCTTTTACACCCTATTTTCAGTGTTCAAATTTAATTTAATTATTGTTCGTTCATTCTAGATTGTTATAAATACTTGTTAGTTAGCTATACAATCGGTTCACAAATCCACTGTTGGAGACCTTTACTTCAATTTTGTTTAGGTGATCAAATCATCTCAATAGAATCTATTATTCTTGCGTTTTGCCATTATACTATCTATGTACCTAAAGTTCCAGAACCTCAAAAATGCCAATACACTATACGAAGGGTCGCGGAGACATTAATAATAATAAAGTCAAAACTTTAAAAAATTAAGCGTTATTATATCGAAGTGAACGCAATGGCTATAGCTATTAGTGCGGTCGCAGCTCCAGATACATATTACACAAAGTTGAACAAAGATATCAGTAAAAATGATCTTCAGGCAAATTAAAATAATAATAATAAGCCATTTTGCCATAATACATTACTACTTTTAGTCGAGACGAAATGATCATTCAAATGAATTACCTCTAATTGTATCTGTATGAAACATTCAATTATAATTATTCATTAAAATTTTACATTAAAGCTTTTCAATCATATAAGATAGTAAAAAATAAAAATTTTTATGATCACTTAGAAATACTTCCTATTGTAGGCTAGAAATGTAGATAATAACGTCATTGTATCATGTAACGTGCAAATTTTGATATGCTTCTGATCATGTGCAAGTATTATGTCTCTAGGTAACAATTAAGGTGCTATTTCATGAGATATTACTACAATATTGTCGCAGCCTAGTTGATGCAGAGACTTAACTCGTAGTAACCATAGTAACTAAAGAAATTTCATAAGTAAAATTATTTGCATTTTAGGCCAGTAGCCAGTTGCACAATCGTCCATTAAAATTATCATTAGATTAATGTCTCATTACCCATATAAATTTTTAAATTTAGAACATTCGTAAAAGCTTAATGTCGTCATTATACCTTAATGGGCGTTTGTACAACTGACCGTAAGTCAGGCATATTATATGGCTGTCATGTCAATTATTAATAAAGAAAATGTAACTTTTGTGTTACCCCATAGATAATGTGATTGATATTCGTACTCATATGTCATTGTAAGTTTAATGCACAAAATAAATTTTACCAACATTAATTTATTTTATTTTGTAGCCAACCAGGTGACGGGCACCACCTATAGCCCCACACAGCGGGCGTAAATGTTGTCTTAAAATTGCTTACGAGCATTACCTTTGCGGTCCCAAGTTCTCAGGCCATGTAGTAGCTAATTTAAGAAGAAGTTGATACGTTAAAATCAATATAGAAGCAAAAATAATGTTATGTAAATTACAATACATACTGTTACTTATCAAAGATATGTAAATAATCTAACGGTGCCTTAAATATAAGGGGTAAGAGAATTTCAAATGTTTCACGTAATCATTTGAAAAGACAAACATGGAAAGTTAAAATTATATTACATAAAATAAATAATATTGGAGAACATTACAAATTCGTTAAAATTGGTAATAAAATTTTCTACTACTCAACTATAGAAGTTGTAGTAATGAAACATCAGCTTAAACCAATTCAAAATAGTAGCAGATAATAGACGTATGATAAACATACTTACATATAGTTCGTCTTGCTTTATCTAAACAGCTTCTATCACGCTATCAGAAATAAGATATGATGATGTCGATAAAATCGATGGCGTCTCATGGTTCTTACTTACTCGTGAAGACGATCGCATCACAAGCGCCAAATACTTGCGGTCAAGATGAAAAGTAAGTGCTATCCTCTTATTTTTTCTCATTAATAAATAAGTCGGTAATATAAGCCCTCCTAAACATTTAACCATAACAATTAATTATACCAAAAACAATTCCAATAATGAAAAATACCATCTTTGTAATAAAGCCCATTTTTATATTTTGTATTATTACACTTCGATTCCTGTTCAAACTTTACTCACACATGCATAACACCAATAGAATACGCTTTTTATGCATGTGTGAATAATGTTTGAGCTGAAATAAAAGCATTTAATCAAGAAATAAATTTTACAATCACTGTAGGTACGGTAACAATAAAAAATGTATCTTATTATACCAACTGCAACAAAACAATCTTTAGATATACTTGGAGGTTTCTTTATCTATGTTTAAATTATAACATATAAGTCACAGATTATAGTAGAATAATTTTCTTGACATTCATAATTCGTAATATTTTAAGAGCTTTGATTATTAATTTTTTTTTCAATAACGTCTTTGTAAAATTTATCTACGCTCGAACAAACTTATAATCATTTATTATTAGTTTCACATGTTTCAAGTAATTCACTAGAAATTAAAAAGTTAATGGCATATTCACCCGATTGTCGTTATTTCTGTTAAGAGCGAGTAAGGGCTTCACACTTCTTCTTCTGATCCTGAAGGAGCAATAGGAAAAAAATATTAAGAAGGTTCAATTGCAAATAAACTTATGAATAAATGATCTAAGATACAAATAGATTTGAAAAAATACCCACGGATATGCCTAACTAAATACCTACAATGAAAAATAGCTTTTTTTATTTGCTTCCTTTGTCAGCTTTTCCCCTGGCATATTAATGAAATCAAGAGAAATCAAGCAGCAAAATTGGGAAAATATATAGGTTGCCTTAGTTTTACTTTCGAAATAGGTCAATTATGAAATTTCTAACAGTTACACAGCTGATGCCCGCCAATCCGCGTTTTATCAGAGTGGAGGGTTATTGCCCATCCCCATTAATCATCCATAAGGAAAGCCTGAGCATCTCCATCGGAGACGTAACAGGGCTGATGATGATGATATACTCTCAGATATTGTTTAATTAAATTGAAAGGTTTTTTTATTTCCTACCACAGTCAACATTATTAGTTTGCTTTTTCAATGCACATCTATGGTTCAGTAAGCAGATACAGTGATCAATAACGTTGCACTAAAAGTTTAGGCAATTACTTAGGCCTACATGGGTTGCCTAACTATATACACACGTATGTTTTAATAACATGTTATCTAACATAAAACCTTTGTAAAAATCAAATAACAGAATATTTTTATTCCAATAAATAGTTCAAGGTATCAAAATTAATACATATTTTGCATTGTCAAAATAAGAAAAAAAATTGTAGGTTTGTCATGAGATGAACTCAAAAACTAATGGACCCATTTAAAAAAAATCAAAGGGTATATTCGAAAAACGGCGGGAAGATCACAGAATTTTGTAATTTGTTGATCATTGTTCAAGCTTTAAGCATATTAAAATCATATTCTGAACAGGTTCTGTTCAGAGGTTTTTATAAACAATAGTATTTAAATAAAGATGCATATTTTTATTATAATTAATAGATCTATATGATTTAAAACTCCTGGAAGTTTGCATTTGAAACTATTATTTATGCCTTTTTAACCTGATATCCTGCAGTAATATTAACGAAAGCAGGAAATCATACGGAAATATTAATTCATAATTAACTTTAAGTATAGATGCTTAACTGCTCGATATCCACAAATAATGAGGGCATTCTTATATTGATATATCGCAACAGTGTATATAAAATGCATTATAACTCGCAACGAATATTTTGGAAAACTTTCATTCGTCCTTGAATTTTGTATAATTAGACCAGAATCTAGAGGTAAAATATAAAATGACAGGTATATCAGAATAGCTTACAAGAAGTCTGGAACTTTGATTTATCGTAAAGCTCTAGAGACCATAGTTACCTACAATATTAACCAATTTCCACCTAAGTCAGGTAATTAATGTGAATTTAATTATCTGTAGAAGAACTTATCCATGTCTGATAACAAAGATCTTTCTAGTTGCACAGTATAAGTATTTAGCTGTTTATAGCGGGGTTATAAATAGATCATTCTTGTAGTTTGAAATTAATTTAACCTTTGAAGTTGAATAACATTCGTACTTGACAAGATTTGAAAGGTAGAAACAAATCATTGTTGATCCCGAAATCTTAAGTGAACTAAATTCGTGAATTAAAATATTACAATAAAATAAATAAAAAGTTACGTCTAACTTTTTATTTATTTAATTGTAATATTATTTACTAAATAGTGGCCGCCAGCGACTTCGTCCGCATTTTCCATTATTTCTTCGCTCCTAATAGTTGCAGCATAATGTTATATAGCCTAAAACCTTCCTCGATAAATGGTCTATTCAACAAGATTTTCTCAATTCGAACCAGTAGTTCCTGAGATTAGCACGTTCAAACAAACAAACAAACTCTTCAGCTTTATAATATTAGTATAGATATTCAGTCACACAAGGCCTTTATTTAATTTACTTTACTTTTGTTGTGCGTGCTCGCTTTTTTTAAACCAAGTATTTTTTTTTTAATTGAAAGCCCTATTACAAGTACCAACGATTTCCCTACACGGCCGAATAAACTGAGCTCGTACGAACGGTGCATCACATTTTGTAGTAATTTTGCAATTATTATTGTTTTTATTGAAATAGTATATTAAATTGTGCTTAAAATTATGAAACCTTTATTTCTTAATGTGTAGTGTGCAATAAAGAATATATAATTATTGTACATTTCATTATGGAGTAAGGAAAATTAAGGTACATAAGTACATACTGAATCGGAAGTCGATAGTAGAAATATCACAAGTAGCAAAGCAACATGTTATTAGTAAATTCTCCAATATAATCTGGTTAAAAAAAGAAATAAAAAAGTTGAATATTATTAAAAAAAAACTAATAAAAATTATTTCCTGTGGGCATATCGGTGATAAAATTTTATTTAATATTGAATATCTAGTTCTGAAAACTATAATATAAAGTTCCCATATTACAAATATTAGGTATATTTTTATAAATGTACATGTCTTTATAAAATGGCTGTTATATCGATACTACAATTCCTACCTTCGCCACTTCAAGCTTCTTTGAGCTATTAAAGTTCAACTAAAGTTTCGAGATGAGTTACTAATTTTAGAGAACTCAATTGCCATTATACCAGTTCGATTCTATTATATATAACATTTTATTCAAATAGCTGAAAGATAAAATAAGTAAGTAAAATGTATTTTTTGAAGTTATTTAATTTATTAAATGTAAATGTTTCAACAAAATATAAAATTATAGTACTGTGAATGTGTCCAATAGTGTTGTTTTCAAACACCTTAGTATCAGTATTACTGACCCTGTAAAGGGTCCGAAACATAAATAAAAGAAAATACAAACGCAATGAAACTGTTTAAAGTTGTTCCATTTAAGATATAATACTAGCTTACACAGTACTTATCATATTGCGTGGAAATTATTATCATTGTCATCTTGGGCTTGCCGGAATTGTTTCCAATGATAATCTTGTGATGTTTATCTGTCTATCATTCATTATAATCGAAGGATCTAGAACTTCGAGCGGTTTCTGAATGTTATTACGTACTTTTAAAGTAATTTTTAAACGACAAACTAGCGCCTGCATTATTTTGGTCAAACTGTCATGGCGTCACCGACCGTATACCGAATCGAAATTATTATTGATATTTAGAAAAATCATTTATTCCGCTTACCCACATTAAGCTTATTGCCCAGACTTTGCTAAAATACATGTGGCATTTAATTAGTAACATAAAACGTAACAACTTTTACAATACAACTATAAAATAAACGCACAAATAACATAGTTATTACAAAGATTGGCCATACGTTTTTCGCTGTCGTAGTAAGGCGTCACTTCGTGGCTCGAAATTCTAGGGAGAGCTTTCGGCCGACTAGCAGCAGTTTCACAAACACAGTACCGTATCTCCAAAACTATTAGTCGCAGACGTTACTTTTTCGTTACTTACCAGCGTATATCTGATTAAGATTTAATGACGCCTTTAAGCTCTAATGAATGTCAAAAATTGTATGGGTGATGTGACTTTAAAGTAATAAAAAATTTAATGGACGTTTGTGCAACTGGCTGATAAACGGACTATTCATCCATCCATAAAATAAGTAGGTAATCAATGAGGAAGTATTTAAAAAAAACATGAATTCCTGAAATCAAAATACGGTACCTTCTTGAATTCTCCATGACAACCTTTTCGGTTTTCTTTCAAGTTTAAAAGTAAATTCGTTTTCAAAACTCAATAAACAACTCATATTCTATTTGTATTGATATCTAAGTTTCGAACTTTTCAAATTTCAGTTTTAATATGTTAGTTAAAAGAAGCGGAAATTACTGTCTTAAGCGGGTAATTGATGATCCTGGCACTGTGTAGAGGTGTAGAGAACAAATTCAATTTCTGAAGTTTGTCAGTTTTGTATAAACAGAGAGCCAGTGGCGGGCTAACCAAATTAGGGGTCCAGTGCGACAAGTACATCTGACACACCTTCGCTACAGGCTGATAAGTGATCAAGGGACCCTCAAAACTCTCCGGGCCTCCGCCCGTGTCGCCACGCCCTCCCCCCCTCCTTAGTCCGCCACTGCAGAGAGCCTATTCTTTTAGTCTACAAAGGAAATATCTACCTGTCTAACTAAATAAAAATGTAGAAATGTAAAAATTACGAAACGTTCCTATAATTTTGTTAGCATCATATCCTTGAAGATTATTATATGTACATCAGAGACATTGTCAGGCCCTACCTCTGTTGCATCATAAATGATCGAAAAATGCGTTTCATTGAAGTCATGATAGCGTTTCGAAAATAGACGAAATTTTAAAATAGAGAAACAAAGTAGTCCTACTCACTCACTCCAGTATTTACAGAGTTCCTGCTCTGACTCTTTGTTATAACATTTATTGTATTTCCAGCTGTGTTCACACTGATCTGCTGCGCGGCAGCTCTGGCCGTCGTCTCCGGCTTCTCAATCGTCTTGAGACAGGATCCGGAGACACTATGCTCCGGCCAGGAGAACTTTCTGCGGATAGCCAGCGTCGAGAGTTGCATCCAGTACTACCAGTGTTACAATGGCCGTTCTTACATGATGGAATGCCCGAGAGGCTTGTGGTTCAATGAGGAGTATCAGGTGAATATTTCTTTTACAAAAAAAATCTCAATTTTATCCCTGATCTCCGTAGCCGAGTGATTAGTACGTTTGTACGCCGGTTTCTAGGTGTCACCATCTCTGAGGTCCCACGTTCGGGTAAATGTAGAAAAAAAGGACTTTTCTATATTGTCTCGGGTCTGGGTGTTGTGGTACCATCGTTATCTTAGGTACTCCATAATACGGGGCCTTTAGCTACTCATCTTAGAATCTGAGCAATGTATGTGATTGTTTCATGAGGTTGTCCAATATTTATTTATCTCGTACAATTTGATTGTGATAGATGGCGAACCAGGAACCTATAAATCGCGTTGTTAAGAATTTTTAAAATCAAAAATGTTCATGTCGTCGGCGACAATCTCGCACGCCAGTTTCGATGGGTGTCACTAACTCTGAGGCGGGGTACGATTCCCGATTAGACCATTGAAGAGATACTGTTTTGGGTACCTTCGTTATTTCAGATTTCAGAATACAAGTCCTAAAACGATTACTTAATTTGGGATCTGAGCATTGGCGTGTAATGTTTGATATAACAACATATCGTATAACGTTCACAACATATAACAAAAGATGACATAAAATCTTTTCATGTAACGTTCATTTGGTAAAATCAAGGAATGATATAATATAAAATAAAATGAACGTTTGGTATAAAAACGTTTGATATAATGAACATTTACAATAATACTCATCGTATAGTACTCATGACACATAATATTCATTTGATATAACAACCTTTCGCCTTATAATCAAATGATATAATTTGGTATGATATATAACACTTGAACCCAAATATAATTGACCTTAAAACATTATTGTGATATATTACTTAGTTTTTTATAAATAATAAGCATTTAGCCGGCATGGCTTCTATTAGCGCCGCAGCGCTGCAGCCGAGTTTCCGGCGCGGCAGAGCTTATCGTCGCATTTTGCACATTGAAACATACCTACGTCGAAAGTATAAGAAATTCTATGAAATGAGATTATTACAATTGATGATTATATCAAACAATAATACATAAATCAAATGACCATTATAGTAAGTGAATATTTTATGTGATGTATTTATATGAAATGAGCGTTATGAAATGAAATGAAGATGTCTTTATCCAAGTAAACTTGTTACAAGCACTTTTAATCGTCCATAAAAAATGTCAAATGATAACAAATGATGATTAATTGAAATAAAAGTTATATCAAAAATGATTAGTTGAAAGCGTTGTTATATCAAACGTTTATTTTTATATCATATGAACGTTATTGAAGTGAAATTATATCATCTGATGCGCAACGATTGTACTTCGAAATAAAAGAAACTTTATTCACCCATATTTTTTCTTCTTTTATTACCTTTGACCATTATATACTTACAACGAAGACGGAATTTAATAGGATTTGTCAACTTTTAGAATGCCTAAAATTATATTTTAGAAAATACTATCGACATCAAATTCATCAAAATTTCGGACAGAGGTTTTCTGAGGGTTATTAATTACATGATTTAATATTAAAAAAATTATATAAACAAATAGTTTTACGAAATTACGTGTCAATTATGTAAAAAGTTCGAAAGAAAAATTATATGCGACAGAGTATCACACGATATTTGTAACCTGCCGTGGAGCCGTATGTACAACAGAATCATCAAAAATCTCTTATCTTTGTCATTATTTTAGGACATATCACAACGACTCTCATTTCCGTCCATCATTACAAATTGTTACTAGATGGATGGCTTTATAAAAATAATGGTAAAAGTAGGTACCTAATACAATATATTCTTTTAGGTTTGTGACGGATCCACCCCACCGGAAGACTGCAACCCAGAATTTGAACCTGAGCCGGAAGCTGAGGAACCTGAATCGGAACCCGAAGAAGAACCTGAATCGGAACCCGAAGAAGAACCTGAATCGGAACCCGAAGAACCTGAATCGGAACCCGAAGAGGAACCTGAACCGGAATCCGAAGAAGAACCTGAACAGCCCGAAGATGAACAACCTGAAGATGAGCAGCCCGAAGATGAACAACCTGAAGATGAGCAGCCCGAAGACGATCAACCTGAAGATGAGCAGCCCGAAGATGAACAACCTGAAGATGAGCAACAATTGAATAAACAGCAGGAAAACGACGGTGAGAATTTGACTGTAGAAAGCGAAGAATCCAGCGAAGAGACGCTAGAAGTAAATGAGGATGAAAATGACTTAGACGATGATGATAATATTGATGGTGGTGATGACAATGAAAATGACAACAGTGATGAAAATGAAGACAGCAATGAAGATGAAAATAATGACGATAGCAATGAAAATGATAACAACGAAAGTACTGATAGTGGTGAAAATAATGATAATGGTGAAGAGAGCAATAACGAAGAAGATAATAGTAATGACGAAGAAAATGATAACAGCGAAGATAATGACGATGGAGAAAACGGTGGCGAAGTCGACGATCTACATAAAAAGATACAAGACCAAAATGACCAAGATGATGGGGAGCAAGAAAACGAAGGCGAACCAGAAAGCGATGACAATCAAGAAAACGACGATGACCAAGGAAATGTAGACGAACAAGAAAATAATACTGAGCAAGTCGATGGAGACCGCTCGTTAAAACATAGGGCAATAAAGAAACTATCCAAACAAAACGAGCAAGAGGAACAAGAAGATGACGGTGAAGTTGTTGACGGTGAAGATGTTGACGGTGAAGATGTTGACGATGAAGATGATGACGGTGAAGATAATGACGATGACTCTGAGGAAAATAATGAGAACGACAACGAGGACATTGTGGAAGCTGTTCCTTATGAACAAAAACAAAAGAAAGACGCTGGCGATGCTGGAAACAAGTTTGACAGTAAACTAAAAACGCTTTTAAGGCAATGAACTCAATCGGTTTGTAAGATGCTAGTGCATTCTTAAGCTTTCCTAAAGGAATGTTTTCTTGTAATGCAGTAGGAAAGTAGGAGTAGGTTAGCAATAGGGAAATTATTTATTTTAGTTATTAAGTGTTATAATTAGGTACACTTTGTGCAATTTTGTATATATGTGAGAGAGTCAATAAACAAGTGAAGCGATGAGCGCAAAGTTTTATTACAAAATCTCCATTTAAAAATTACGTCACTGATTAATAAATCTTAATCAGTGAAGAATCCCAGTGGGGTTGGACATAAGTTGGAAAACTTTTTTGTGACTGCCACGTGATAAGGTGCTTTAGAAGAACAATGAAATAAAACGACTTCTCTCAATTTAGCGATTTATTACATTATTATACAAAATTAATCTCAAATACAATTAATAATCATATGTATAAGTAACACAACCAAAGCAAAACGTTATACATTGAATTTGAGAGATACATTTATGTCGCTGGCACGTACAAATTATGCGTTAAATGCATTCAGGGACATAAACATCGCGTGTTATTTCGAAACAGTTTAACTTAACATTTATTGACTCGATCGTTACATTTTTCACCTTAATCCTTGGCAGTAGAACACATTTTTTAACACTACCAATTTCACAATTACCGACCGCTTTTCAAATCAGTTATTAAGAAATATTAATGCTAGTTATAAAAAAATAAACATCTAAAATCATACATAACAGTTTTTTAAAACAAAACTATGCTCGGCCGAAGAGATGGCAATCTTTTTATTACACTTATGGTCGTTTACAATAACATAACCTGAGTAAGATGCCGATATTTTTTATCAATTGGATAATTTTAACAGTAGTACAGAAAAGAAAATCCTATGTCTTACTAGTTAAGATTCGACAGGTTTTTAAAATCGTCCTTTAAATAGTTCATATAAAGTATCAATCATTATGGCCGTAGCCGATGGTCTTAATTTACAGATATTTTAATTTATAACAGACGCGCGCTCTTAACCAGTACATTGAGCACCGTTACAAACCAATACAAATTTATATAAAAAGGCTAAGCTGAAAATGTGAAGTTAATTATTTTTATTACAAACAAGAGCCTTAAATAAAACACAGCATTTTTCGTACGTAATCAGTCAATGGGCGAGAATAATTACAAGAACATTTTTATCAATAGTTCGAATCGTGTGGTCAAATTTGTCACAGTTCAAAAGCAACATTACCAATCGCTATACATATAAGGTTCATTACTTTTTATCAAAAAACATGGTCCACCTTACGCACAGTATAAAAAGAGTAGCATCCACTTGATTAGATATGTGATGTCATTTAATATATAAGTGCTCTGTGACAGTCACAATACATACAAACTCTAACAATAAAAAAAAACTGATACAGAGTTTTTTTTCTAAATTAGTAAGCAAAAAGCGACTGTATTCCGTATTATCACAAGTTTCATTTATTATTTGTATAAGATCCCAACCGTCACAAAGCGTAAAGCCTACCCTAAAGCGTATAATAGAAAAATGTTCGTATGTAAATCTAGAGATTTATAACAGATAGATAGATAACCACACTGACCAAACATGTTTGATCAAAAAAAAAGTTTACCGACGATATATTGACAAATACTGCGTTCGTTTTAAGTATCACAATAAGCGCCTAAATAACAGTCGGCATGACGCACCATTTGACAATAAATCGAAAAATTATTCACCATACTTAACTCCGCCTTTTGTCGTATAACCACAAGCCGGCTAAAATTGGGGACAATTGAGATATAAAAAAAAAATTAGAAAATATATCACCATTGAGAAATTCATTTTTATAATATAAATTTGTGTTAAAATAAATTTAAAATATCGAATACAGGAACGTTACAAAATAATAAATATATTTAAAACGACTATTTACATTAGGCGTGTCCCGCCTCGTGGTGAACAATTCCAACGTACAAATCCATAACTAATCATGTCCTAAAACTACTTGCGGTTACATGAAAATATCACGTGTAGAATACATAGTTTTCGGTTAGTTAGTACAAAACGTTTTATATTTACTTTCCCATAACTACAGACGATTTAAAGCGTGCTCCTATAGATAAATCGTATCAAATCCTTCATTGTTTACTGGGTAAAAAAGTACGAAACATTTGCGTTTTGTATCAAAATATATGGGAATAGAGATGACCGCGATTTGGACGCTGCCGGGTCAAAATAGACCAACGTCCTTCTTCATGTTGGTTTGTTTCCATGCGGGCAGCGCGGAGAATTCCTCTTTGGTCATTCCGAAGGCCTCCTACAAAAGTACAAATGTAAATAAACTATCTCATGCATGCTTCACTACGGCTAATACGTACTCCTACGATTAGCAATAATATGATATCGATCTTTATAGATTATCATGACTTTTACAATACTTTAAAAAGCTGATACATTCTTTTCTATTTCTTGTAGACGTTTTGGTAATCAATTGGAAATCTAGATTAATTTATTACAATTATGAAATCATAATGACAGTAAATTATTCACTATAAACCTTAACACATTGAAAGAAGGGTTGAACTACTGCCGTAATTATATATGTACACAGACTACTTGTAGTAGTTTTTGAAGAAAGAAAAAATACAAAAAGCCACACCGCCAACTGCAATTATAATCCCAGTTTCCCATAAAAATATGTATCCAAAGCGTTTAGTGTTTCATGTTAAAGTGCGTTAGGTGTAATATAGCGTACCCGAAAGTCTGTATCGGAGAGGTGCCGCTCGAGATGGTTAGGGTCCACGTGTTCAGGTAACGGTCTCTGTTGTAACTCAGCTAGTGGAAGTACCGCCGCTTTACTGGTGAGACGAGACAGCTCATATTCACCGGATATCGCGTCGCCGGCCTTATACCCGTGCTGTAATGTACAGTGCGTAAAGCGATAAAGTGCATTTTTCTTTTTACAGTGGACTAAGCGGATAGAGTATGCTCGTTTGGAATAGTGCAACCATCTCTAAAACCTGTAAACTAGGACAAGTCATTCGTAAACACGATTTATCGGATGTAAAAACTAATACCTATCTCTCGATACATCATCGTAAAATGTCGGTAACCAACGACGATTATAGTACTTGAAAACTAGGAACAGTCCGAAATGATTCGGTCAGATGGTAACCCTATGATTCGTGTAAAAGCAGCACCGTAGATAGTAGAACGCTAAATTGTCCCCTTTCAAATTTGTGTTAAGCATGAGACCTTTTACAATAAATCTCAAATTTAAAGCCACTACAAGTTTTCAATAAAATTGGAATATTCGAAATTTTCCAAGTGATACGTTTATTTACGTTTCGCACTCTTTGCCGCAAACAGTTTTATTTCCTTTTTCCACGATTGATACCTACACTAGCTAAGTCATTCTACCAAATAAAAATTGGTATTAATATTAATAAATTTTAAGTTAAATTTTCCTTTCTATTTTTACCCACATTACAATATTTACAAATTTTTATCGTAAATTTATGAGTTATCATAAAAATGAATTATTTATTGTGATCAGTTACTTGTGAATCAAACTTTATTATTATTATTATTTTAACTTGTCACATTAAGTACCAATTATTTAATGATAACCAAAGACTCATTATAAGTTATTCAGTTTTATTTTTTTTTATCTGCAATCGGATTGATTTCTATAAGCAGATGTTTTCTCAGAGTGTGCTCCCCAGCGAGAGCATCACTCAAAAAAGTATTTATGTATCATATAAATGTATGTAGTAGAAGGATATCCTTTCGCTTCAATTGCTTTGTAGAATTGAGTTGCATTAATTCAGAACCTAGAATAGTAGCGAAAACTAACAAAGATTTGGAAAAAAAGCAAAGAGCCGTCACCAAAAGAACATGGCTTATAAAAAAAAGGTCTGTGGCAGCAATACAGAGAAATCACCATCTTTTTTTTAAATTTAGTAACTTATTGTACAAATAATATAATATGATGATGATATTTTTATTTTGTTTGCCCGTCATGTACATTAATTATAAACGAAATATTAGACACTTTTTTTTATATTTTTTTACGTAATGAATAAATTACGGAGAAACGTTGACTCGAAATGGCACATACTATCACACCTTTGTACATTTTCTACATAGTTGTGACGTAGCGAGCCCCACTCTTTTGATGCCTGTTATCTAAGCTACTTTTTGCTAAATTGAAGCAAAAAATATGTATCTAATATGGTTCTATTATTTGACGGCCTTTATACCCGAGCGGTTCGCACGCCCTTTTTAAGATGTCACCAACTCTGAGGTCCCAGTTACGACTCCAGATCGGGTCAATGTAGAAAATGGATTTTTCTCTATTGTTTCTGGTCTGGGTGTTGTTGTACCTTCGTTATCTCAGATACTCCATAGGATGCTTTAGTTATTCATCTTGGAATCTGACCAATGCATGTGATGTTGTATAATATTTATTCATCTGACAGTCCATCGTCAAAACAGTTTTTTTTTTTTACACCGCCAACATCCCTATTGTATTTACAGTAAAGATTAAAGATGCGTCGAATAGTGGTTTCACCGAATAACCGAATACTATTTGGTTTATTATTTCAGCATTTTTTTTAGCCAGGATGTTTTTTAGTGCTCTGGTTACTACCACCATGTGTATAGCGAACGATTATTTCGGAAGCAAGCAACCTATATGATGAAATACGTAACAGACTCTTGCCGAGGAGAGCCGAGACCTTGGTCTTTCTGCACTATATTTTACCATTAGGTAATTAATTATAAATATTAGAATATGGATGTTTATTTTTGCTCATCTTTTATTTTATTTCTAATCTCTATTATATTTATCTGTCTCTATATATCTTTGTTGTAGTGCCTATTTTTGACAATTTGCCCTTAAGTGTATTTATTATCAATTTAAAATATATTTTTTAACAAAAAAAATGATCACTATAGTTTACAAAATATATATTCACGATTTCATTGACTTCCTTCGGCTTTTAATATAAGTCTTCCAAAAGAAGTTTTGTCTTTCACTTCTATACCGTGTTGTGTAGCAAAGAAAATATAAGTACTCGAATTGAATATATTCGGCACCAAAATCGAATAAAAATAACGAAAAAAGCGCTGAATACGTCGAATATCAAACGAATATTCAGCGCATCACTAGTATAAATATTATTGCTATATTACCGCGATGTTAGCGTCCGCGGCGTCGTCGTGCTCCGTCCACGTGTCGAATAGGTCGGTAAACTGTTGCGGCTCCAGTCCGGCGGCGATGACGCGCACGTCGGCGGCGGTGACGTCACCGCGCCCCGCCACCCGCCAGTACGAAGCGCACGTGCGCAACGCCGCCGCGCGCATGCTCTGCCACCGCGCAGCGAACGCGCCCACGCCTAGCGGAAACAGAGGAAGCGTTATTCATCGTCATCAGTTTAAAGTTGTTTCTACGCGATAAAATTTAATTAGATTGTCAACTCTGATTCTCCGTCCGCACGTACAAAAGATGATCGTCAATTTCAGTTTTAATATGTTGCTTCTGTAGAACATACTTGTGTCGAGATGCCACCTGTATTGTGCAAGTGACAATCATGCAATGAAGACTAATCTCCGAATTGGCTACTTGACTTTATTATTGTTATGCTAACAATAGATTTTGGAATATGTTCGAAATGGTAATTTATATAAACAATAACTATATATCATTTTTTGTTTTATAATAAATTATAATTATATGTTACTTTTGAAAAGTTTACTGGCTATTTTTAATTTGTGGATTACAATAATCGAAACGCCGGTGACCATGACGGAACATCGTGTGACGTTATATTTCAATAAACTTAAAGTCAATGGCTTACCGCTCTTGGTGGTTAAATAACAATTATAATAAACTAGCGGACCCGACAGACTTCGTCCTGTCAAAAAGATTTGTAATGTGGCAGTTTTTTGTTCCTACTTATTTTATAGTCGGGGCAAAAAATAGGAGGCATATCAAATATAAATTATTGTGTCACATGCAATATTATTATTATAATAAATAGTGATCATAGGTAACTAAACACTCTGCACAAAACACGATATACGAATTTGTTTCGTGTATTAGACAGTATCAGTTGACAAAAGCAAACTCAGTAGAATAAGTAACAGAAAATCCAAGAAAATAATAATACTTCCACACCGGCAAATTGACATCGACATTTTTTTTTTAGTTTTTTTTTAAACTAACTAAACATCGACAGTTTGTTGTTGTTTCAATTTTCAACTTTTTTTAAATTTGATATGACTTGGAGTGAAATCCTTCAGGCCGTACCAATTTTTTATGTGTGTAAAATAATAAATAATAAAACACTTGGTAACGCGGTTTGTGTTTGACTGATGTCATGACGTGAAAACTGATGCATTTTATGTCGCGTGCTGAAAGTAAAACAAAAGAAATAATATCGCAAAGCCGACCAAATTGAAAATCAGTACTAATGATTTACTTTAATTGAGTTTCGGAACGCGGCATTAAATCCTCCAACGATGTATTCTGTGCTCCAACGCACACACGCACACTGTATTGATATGATTGAATTTCAACTTTGTATAGCGGAAATAAAGTGCAAATTGACTCTTTGACGTTAGGAACACATCTACATTGCTTAGATAACAGTGAGTGCTTGTAATTTAATATGAACTTTATACAATAGTAATAGAGCTCAAATTGACTCAACGATTTAGTTAGAAAACGTTTGTATGAGAAAAAGAAAATGGCTGTTTTTACGGTTTTTTCTCGCCGTAAAAACCATCCTTGAACTTCAACGAACATTTAAAAAAAAGAATTGGCCAAATTGGTCCAGGCGTTGTTGAGTTATGCGCTTACCAACACATTTTGCGATTCATTTTTATATTATAGATTACCGGCGTTCCTCTCAGCTGGTTCAAGCTCTCCATCCTCTCCACGCGGCCACCACCCTTGCCACAGCCACACTATCTTGCCGTCGTCCAAAAGAAACAGGGCTGCAACCGTAATATATATAGTTAATTTAACCATTTTTACCGAATTCAAGCTGTGTTTCTCTCTGCAACAAAAACTGATCTATAAATATTTCTTTTGATAATGTATAAAATTAATATCAATCAATCAATTAGCTAAACTTGACCTTTGCTTTAATTAGTAGGTCAATAAATTACCGCTATTCTCGGATTACGCTCTTTGCAAAACAGCGAATTCATTCTAATTTATACAGACTATAAAGCTTTTCATCCACCAATATGATACTAATTAGATGTCTGAATATCAAAACAATTTTAAAAATATCACGTCATCTTCACTTATATTATAAAGAGGAAAGATTTAATTGTTTATTTATTGGATTGAATAGGCTCTGAAACTACTGGATCGATTTTAAACATTCTTCAACCAACTGAAAGCTACATTATACGCGGATATTTCACAAATGAAGACGTGCGAAAATAGCTAATGCATTTACTCACCTGGTTGCGAAGCAGAATACAACTCCTTTTGTTCAAAAGGGAAGGGTGTCACCAGATTCTCGTGTCTCAGCGGCGACAGCACCTCATTCGCTTCGAATTGACCCCCGAGATCAGTGAAATGGAACAATCTGGGACTACAATCGCCCCCCACGTCTATACCCGCCCCCAGAACAGAACTATAATGTTGCTTATTAGCAACACCCAACGCTTCTAACACTTCCTTAGGCTCCTCCCCCTCTTTCACTTCAGTAATTTCGACATTGGAAGCGTTCTCCTTAAACAGATAACTGCATTTCCTAGCAATCAGTTTGTTCGCAAGCTCTATAGCTATGTTTTTAGTGTGTTTCAAGCTTCTCGCTCCGTGCCATATGTAAAGGCGACCTTTCTCCGTGTCTGCCAATAATAAAGAACCTCGACTTCGCAACTGTCGCACTGAGCACGGCACTTGGAGTAAATAAGCTTCGTTGGAGAGATTCCCTCGGGTTACGAACAAACGATATCTGCTTTTATCTGTGTCTCGCTTCCCTTGATGGATTACTAAATTGCCTTGGAACAAGTTAAGGAATGCTGGCGGTTCGTTTCCTTGCGCTACTCTAACTTGGGGACCTTTCTCTCTATCCAATTCCACGGTGAGTAAAGCAGCTGCCCCTTTTTCGTTAGGCGAAGCGTCTTTACCTTGCCAACAGAAGTAAGCACATCTATCACGCCCAGTCACGTTATGCTTCGATGGTTTCCCGTTTAATTCTCGACCGGTAACCGTTATCTGATACTCCCAACGGATAATATAACTATCACCAGAGAAAAATTCCCCAATTTCCGAATCGTTTTCGACCTTCTGGAAGTCGTATTCCTGTATAACCCATTTCGATACGGTCTTAGTTTTAATATTGTAGTGTCTCATGGTTTCTTTGTCGTAGTAATGCGTGCCTCTTCCGATATGGGATCCTTCTAAAATGAGATCAGGATCCTGGTATTCATTCGACCACATCTCTTCGGCGTCGCAAGGGGTTATTTCTACTGAATTGGATTTGTTTTCAGCCGGTTTCACTTTAATCACTCGCGTGTAATCAGGCCAGTCGAGGAATTTCTCTTTGAACAGTATAGTTTCCATGTGTTGGGTCACTTTTGATAGGATTGCCCATTCGGGACGAGTTTTAGATGTTTTAATTACGCCATTGGATTCTAAATCTCTTGCACCTTGATGGGTTGCTGCGTTTAGAGGATTGATATGGCACTCTTCATAATTGTACCCTTCGTCGAACAGCTCTTGAGCTAGTTGAGCAGCTTTTCTTCTACTTTCTAGAGGTACATTCTTCCCGTACCAAATGTACATTTCAGAGCCGAAATCGAACACAATGATCTTCGATTGGTTCAACATTGCTATCTTTGGCATTTGACCCCAATACTCCTTTATAGGGACCAATTCATCGTCTATGACCTCGTAGCACATGTTCGTTTGGACTATGCAGGATTCGTAGATTTCGTCTTCGTCGGCGTGGCCGGTTTCGACGGGTTTGTAATCTTCTACGGACTCTGTAACGCCGAGGAGTGACCAAAATTGGTTCCAATGCTTTTTCGAGAAGTTTTTGGTTTGTTCGTCTATCTTTATGATGTCGGTTAAAGATTTGCAGCCTAGATCTTTGGTTTTGTGAATATGGAGAGCAATGTCGGTGCTTCTATTCCTGCAATCAAAATATAAACGGGTTACATTGGAGACATAGATACATACCTTGAGATACATTGTTACTGTTATAAACACATTATTATTGAAATCACTACGTTTATCAAGACAACAGTTATTGAATTAAAAATAATATCTTCAATAATAAAGCATAAAATATCATCTAAATGAATTATCAATTATGATACACAAATTAGAACATTTGTCATACGACTTACCTCTCTATGACGTTGGCATAGAGACCAATGTAGAGATACACTTGTTCAGTGGTTGTGAGGATGAAGCAATCACCTCTGTTCACATTTGTGTGCACTGGCTCCACGAGTCTCGTCTGCAATCAAATAATATCCGTATTTTATTAGGAGAGCATTAAACCAAAAGGCTATACTTGATAACTGTTTAATAAAAAGAAACGGTACTATTAAGAGTTCAAGAGGTACATTTGTGATTTTTTTTTGTCATTTGACATCTATCGATCTGCAATCGATAACGAGGTGTCCTGCTTAAAATATTCGATTAATATAATAAATCGACAAATGTGAATCGAATGTAGTCATTGCGTAAATATCATCACCTTCATTCAGCCTTTACCAATGTAAAGGAAGTATTGCGTAAACGTAATATCAATTATTATTATCTTAACATCAAGTCGCAAAATTGACTTTAAAATTATCTCTCATTTCGATATTTTAACAAGAAAACTATATATAACAAAAGTATAGTAGTATATAATAATTTATTGTACACGCACTCTTCATTTTCCGCTTTTCTCAGCAAAACCCCCTCACCTTTCCCCACTGAGATAAAATCACCCCTCTTTCTCGCTGTCCTGAGCAATCAGAAAAAGCCCCTACCACAATGTTGTGCAATGTTACAATGAGACTGACCTGAATTCGTCTTCTGCCCTTGACGTGGAGCAGCATGAGCGGTTTCTGCGCGTGCGCATACGCAAGCGCGGGCACGCTGGCAGCGGATGCGCTGCGCAGCGCCACGTTAGAGAAGTCCTCCTTCGTAGCCAGCGCAGCGAGCGCTTCCGCTGCTAGACCACAGTTCGCCGTCACTGCACCAATAAAGTCACATTACAACAGATAATCTCATATGACACCCTGTTTTTTGAATTGAGAATTTAAAGTTAAGAACGTCTCTAACTTAAACCTCACATCAGCTTTTCCATTCTGATTTTAGTATTTTTAATGATCAGTTGATTGCAGTTTGATAAAACAATGATTTTTTTACTAGTAAAACATAAAAAAAATATAAATAATTGAGAATAAGTTGAGATTTTGCATTCACTTCAAAAACCGTTCGTTAGTCACTGCATCGATGCAAAAGAGTATCTCATCTTACTAATATTACTTTACGTAAATAGATCTAGATATCTGTTACTTTTATAAGAAAAAACTAACAAGCAGATTTTAAGCCGCTAGTGATAGCTTGTAAAATATATAGCTTTTACCATATATATTTTACAAAAATAAGTACTAATATATATATGTCGTATTATTTTTATCCTGTTCACCAAATTGAAAGTATTTTAGTTATAATGAGGAAATATATACATAAAGAAAATACTAAAAAGCACCTCACTAGATGGCGATTCTGGCAAAAGTTGATTTTGCAGGAAACGAATGGACCAGACATAGTAAATTCTGAAACTTTTAACTAACATATAAAAAAAAAACTGAAATTAGCAGAGTTCGTAACTTTAATAATAAAAAACGAAAAGTACAAGTTGTTTATTGAGTTTTGAAAATTAATTTACTTTCATACACGTAAGAAAACCAGAAGGGTTGTCAAGGAGAAATAAAGCAAGTACCGTAGCGACCTCTAGTTTGATTTCGGGAACTAATATGTTTTTTTTAATACTCCCTCATAGTATTCCGCGTATAGTTATCAGTTACCTTTCTCTTTGATAAGTTGATCTCGTATTGTTGAAGGGGGCGGTAAATATTCCTGACGTATATCAGTGCGCGCCGCCAGAGCTCGTAGAGGATTCCTGGATGCAACGTGTCGCCTCTCACGTTTGGCACGTCGCGCCCACTCGCTGGCAAGTCTAAAGTAATACAAACGTTACGAGTTTACCAATAAGACAGACGAATTACGTACCTAAGGAATTTGTTTAAATTAAACAACCAAGCTAAATTATCGCATTTATTTTGTAATAAATATTATAGGTGTTTATAGGTGTGTATATAATAGGTGTGTTACTAAACGTTCATGAAAATATGAGTAATGACGTGTTTCCCCCTGTGACCCCTAAGGAGGTCTTTTTTTTAACAATACAGAATTAAGCTTATTCTTGTATTTTAAATTAGAACCTCCGAATGCCCAATCTCACATAATAAACTACTTTCAAAGCTCACATAATGCTTTGGCTCGGACATTATACGTACAGTTGCCTAGAGCCGCTATCGATGGCGTCCAGGTCTACATCCTCGTGGTACTGGGTTTGATTCTGTTGTTGCAATGGCGCGAAGAACGCGTGGAAAGTCTCGTCGTCCGCTCGCGGCACTAACACGGGACACCCAGTCTTCTCGGCGCCCGGGGATTCCTCGCCTAAAATAAAAACAAATTATAACATTTAATATTATCAAGAGTACATATTTGCAATATTAACTATTAACTACTGCAATTACAGCCATGACCAACGGTTCAGGCTCGACGTGACTGTAACCAAGTAGGAGCTTGAGATAACAAATTAATATACTGCACTACACTACACTAAACTGCATTGCACTGCTCTCTACCTGGTAAATAAGAAACGTATATTTAAATGTATTTTTAATTAATTGATTTAAAGGATCTGTTTTTACCGACATACACTAGTTGTCAACAGATGGCGCTACTGTATTAGTCTATAATTAGACATTCTGTTTTACCGATCTCTCTCTCTCAATTCAAGATGGTTTGTGCTTTTTGTTCTCCTAATGAATAATTTTAAAAAATTGGATTATTTTCACTTAATACCGCAATTTAAGGACTGATAATCAACACCACCCATTGCGCTTTGAAAATTTACGACGCGCCCTATAAGACGAATATATGTATACGACTTACTTTCGTCTAGTCGGCCGGTGATATTTTCGCTGACCGAGTGACTCCGCTTGAACGAGTCTCGGTCGTACCGCGCGGGCTCGCTGGGCTTGTTCACGACCGCGCTCACTACCGCGCATGAAGCGGACCGCAGAGGTCCGGACCCGAAACCGTTCGTAGGCGAGTTCTGCTTGCGTGATCTATTGATGCAACAAAGTAAATCATTGGTTAATATATAAACTGCTTTGTCTCCACACAAGGATGTCTCCACAAAAAAATTAATGTCATTTATTCACTTTAGTAAACAGCACTCGGGTAAAGTGGAAAAGCTACGCTATCAGTTAACCACTTGGGTAAAGTGTAAAAGCTGATAGCTGTAGCAAAGCTATGACTTCTACAGATAACTAAAGATATTTTTCTTCTTTAATACATAGTTGTTACATTGAACTGTGATTTTAAACATTTTGAAGTCACGTTCTATAATAATAACTGCGACTTTTCATGTGCGAAAAGTAAATTATTCGATTATAGGATAATAGATTATTTATTAATCATTTGTGCAGAAAAGCTTATTATTTAATTATTCCCCGGTTTCATCATATTATGCAAGCTAAACAGGATTAAGTTTGAGTGTATTCAAGATACTGGTTGAAGAATGAAAATGTGCATATTCTTTTAGATAAGATCATCAAATTAGAGTAGTAATGTCAATTCTTGGCAGTCATAACAAACAAAATATTTTTTTACAGTTCACTTACCTGAACTTGTTCGGTGTTGGCACAGCGGGTGTGGTTACAGCGGGCGAAGCGACAGTGGTGGGCGGAGCGAGGGGCGTGGGCGGCGTCACCGGCGGGGGAGTGAGAGGGGGAGTCGCTGTCGGCACTTTGTCTCGCTCTAACCGTCCCGCTACGGTGAACATATTCGCATCGTTCTGAGGCACGCGCTTGCGCCATCCCTGAACAAAAAAATATGTATATAAAAACATTTTATATTTCATGTTGCATTATACAAAGACGCTTGGCACAGGTATAATACTTCGTCAATTCTTTCTTAACCAATAGTGAACATCAAAGTGTAGTTTGGAAGGAACTAAAAGGCTAACACGACCGAATGATAGGCGGGGAGTTAGCTTCATTTATACTATGTCGTATTGTAGTGATTTAATATTATCATCGACTAACTGACTGCGGCATGTAATCGTAATAATCCGCATGTATTTACCGGGAATCTTTTCTAATTTTTCTTCTTTCTTTTATTTAAATTATTACGAATCAACGTGAAATAGTCATCTATACGGCCACAAAACACTTAAGATAAATAACGATTTTTTTCCATAACCAATCAGTTTAATAAGTATTCTTAAAATATTTGTTATTAATAATATTTTCATATTGAAAATTGCCTTAACAATATTTCGTATAAAATAATTACTGATGTTACAATATTTCGAAACATGAATACATACACTACGCATTGACAATAATCCGAGAAGAATACTGCACAGCATTTAAAACTTAATCATCAAAGAATAGAATACAAATTCATATCACATTATTTTAGTAAATGTTAGACAATTTGCGGTTAATGAATCATTTTTCTTACAGTCATCACACTTGCCAAAATTTTTGCATTACACAAATTCGCGTATACGTAATGCGTCCGGAAGCTGTCAAATTCCTGGACTTGTTGCCGCCTTGATCTTTCCACAGCCTCTAAAGGTCTTATTTATTAACGCAATTATGGTACGATTAACTGTTTACTTTGTATTGTGTGTAAAAGTATGAGGTCAGTGTGGTGCGTTTAAGAGCCTTCCTTGAAGGTTTGTCCCATACGTTTAAATGATGTAGAGAAAAGGACAACATTGCAGTAAAATTAGCCTCAAGTTTTAACATAATTTCTTAACGTTCGTAAGTCAAAGAAAAATCCTTGTGAGCTGTATAGTTTTGGTTAAGAAAATGTTAGCCTTGGTAGAAAAACAGTAAAAAATTATGACTAATATGTCTCTGTAGCGTTTAAAGAAAAATAATTATAGAGTACGTTATGCTTATTGTTAATATTATGCGACCCCTACATCCTTACATACTGATATCACCAAAACTCAAACGTAATAGGTATTTCTTTTTCAATACAGATCAGTATGAAAGTTTTATTAGATGACACGGAAATTTGGGAACCGCTGCTCTAGATTATTAGCAATGGTATACTGATAAAAACTAACGACTTGCATTATGATTGCGACGAAAAAAAACAATATAATCAAAAAATCGTTTATGGTCATGGATAGTGCAAAAACTATCTACTTATCGATTTTCTTCAATTAATTATAAACCTTAACTTAACCTTAACACTGATAATTACGTTAAAAATCGATTCCGATAAAATTTGACATAATGTGGTTAACATTTTAGCGTTGAACTCTACTACTATACAGCTAAGATAGATACATAGAGATTCAATCAAATAAAATCTATTTCAAATGATATAATAAAACTTTTTTTAATTGAACATCTAAAAAGAACCGACAAGAAAGTCATTAAGACGCTTATGATTGTGTAAATTAGTACCCTTTCTTAATTTTCAGTGCATGGAAGACAAACCAACAGCTTTTTATCAAGTATAATAAGACTTCTTACACACCTGAGCGGCTGTCTCTAGCTTGTTTCGCCTATCGGCTAGAATGTTCTGACCCAATTCGTTGTCATCTATCTGGACTTTTTTCTTTTCATCAACAGCCGCATTCAGAGTTTCCTGTAACAAATAATTTAACATAAATAAATATATGACAAATATTTAAAAAACCATTCAGAATAATGTTCTTTGTTACCGACCAAAATAAAGTGAGACTTGAAGTTTTTGATAAATACTTGGATATTAGTTTAAAGTTAAATTACTACTACAGTTATTACAGTCTTGTATTGTTTATAGTAACGTCTAATTTTAATTTAATAATCTATTATTATTCACAGGAAACATTCTCCTCAACGATAACAATATAGATAATGCATTAGACTTTCTTGTGTGTACCCTTACGGTATAAGATATTTTTAAGTAGCAACCTGACCATCTGCAAAATTATCTTATGGTTTTCAAAGAACAATCAGTAAAAACTTATCATCATTATTAGAAAATAAAATCACCTATCCGAAATATATTTTTTAAAATTATTATATGGTAAAAAAATCTTATTAAAATAATGCAATTTTTTCCCTATTAAAGCAACAAGCCTGAAGACGCTGTTACGATTTTCGCGGATGTCAATTTTCTCTATAAGATATATTCCTTAGAGATAACTTAGAACTATTAATAAGTATAACTACCCTATGGAGATTTTTTTTAAACAAATGCCAAATCCCTTAGAAATGTGACGTATTTTTCTAACTGTTAATTACAGCTTATTTGAATTTTACTTTTTTGTACAAAATCTGTTGAAAGTTAGTAACTGTAATTGTACGCGCCTTCTTAAAATTTAATGATTTTCTCTAGCAGTAGATATGCGAAAAAGTCAAGGAACAAACTAAATAAACGCAACATACGACAAACCGGTTCTGAGATTGATTAAAATTATCATATTCAATTACACAATGAATCTGATTCATAAGATTAATGAGTTCTGTACCTAAGGTATTAAAAAGAGTGTGAAAAATATAATGAGTGACAGAGATAACTTCACGTTTCTTCCGCAGTGAAATAATTACACTATTGTTACGCGTCGTTTTAGATTCGACCTGCATACTCGACAGATTACTGTAGGAACAATTGTTTTACGTAATTTTAGTGAAAACACCAAAAATCCCTTAGATTCCACGAAGACTCTAGGGAGAGAATAGTCATATTTTTTGTTTTTATTTTCCGTAATATATTACCTAAGGTACAAACAAATGTCTAGCTATAAAGATTTAAGTTAACTATAAATCTAAAAAAAACAATTGGAAAAACAATAAAGTTCAAATAAAGTCCTCTTGTGTGTAAATTCAAAAGAAAGAATTATGTATATCGCTAGCAAGCAAATTAACAACTAGTTTTTATAGTCTAACATAGAATTAATGTTTCATAATATGCCAATTAAAAAAAACTGATTGCAACATAAGATCGTGAAGTCAGTATAATATTACAAAAGATTAATTTGACCGCGATGCTACTAGATTCTAAAAAAAAGTAATAGTTGTGTCTTGTGGATGTCTGGTTTGATGAAAAGATAAGTTGTTAATTAATGCATGGAAAGTAAATGAGAATTGAAATATAACGTGCCTGATTTTCTTCATAATCCGGATCGAACTTCTTGAACACAGGCTTTAGGCCACCGTTGCCAGCGTTCTTTGTTTTCTTTTTAAGTTCTCCTATAACTGATCCGAAATTTAGACCAATGGGAAAGCCGGATTGCTTTTGAAGACGTTTCAAGAAGGGCTTATCTTCTTTTACATTTTCAAAACTATCTTTTTCTGTATTAACTAAAAAATTTTCCTTGGTGTAGCTTGTCCCGTGATCTGGATTCTTTCTTTCACTATTTGCTGTTCTATCAATAGTTTCATGATGCTCTGCATCTTTTTCACTAATAGAATACGATATCACATTATTATTTGAAATAGACTTTATATCACTGTCTGGTATAATGACCGCTTCTTCAGTTTTTGGTGCGTCTGTTAAGTCTAAAGACAAATTCTGAATTATCAATTGAATTTTATCATCGCTCAAAATAGTTTTTTCAACAAACTCAGCAAATCTCTCTTTTGGTGGGCTTTCTCGACTGTTAACATTTTCGTGGCTTAACAATGTCATTGGTTGTATAACTGTATGATCAGTTACACACGATTGCTCTGGTTTTACTTTATCTATTTCCGTTTCAAAAAGTTTGGTTTCACACTTGACTTTTGATACTATTGGCTCAAAGTTACCATCATCTTGAACGAAGTTTGCTGTTTTCAGTACTACTTCTATATTATTATGCTTTTCTTGCAAATGGGCTTCTTGTTTTACCACTTTATTCAAGTTTCCAGTTGATTCACCGTCCCTGGATTTTAATATATGGTTCGATTTTTCATTTTCTTTCGACTGTTTGTCTTTGATTTTTTGTAGTAATTCGCTTGGTGTAATCAATCGTTCCGTTTCTAATGCTTGTGTGATAAACTGATTTTCAAAATGTATGTAACGTGTTTGCAAATTTTCAGAAACGTCATCAATTTTCTTAGGGAACACATTAATTATATCGCCTTCATTGTGGGATTTTAAAATAGTTTCTTGCGAATAAAATTTTTGAGTATCTAATACTGCATCACCGCTCAGTTCCTTGTCGATATCATCCTTTGACAACGGTCTTAAAATTTCTCGTTTGCTCGGTAACCAATATTTCCATATTAAATATAACACAACACTGACACCGACGATCACTTCAAACATCATGGCGAATAATCTTAAGTCCAATCACATCACTGACTAGAATAAGTTATTTTTCTACACGTGAGTTGTTAACGATCCTTGAAATCGTGTCGCTCCATTTGTTACGAGGAGTTAATTGAGTAACAAAGTTTTTTACACTGTTAACAATCTATACTACACACTCTTTAATTGATGCGTAATCCTATATGAATAAAACATAAGGTTAAATACAAATTATTCGTTGAAATCAATACTCGTGAAGCATGAACGGTCTATTACGATATAAGATTATTAATATCCGCGGCACTTGACCGCATAGACAGAATGACAATAATGTACTATAGGGCATACTTGATCACTCCTATTATCAACGGTGGTAAACAGAAGCATGACTCACGCGCAGATCTCGGAACATACGCATAACACTACCGATCAGTGGTTACAAATGACGCATATCATGTATAATACAAATGTTTGTCAATATTATAATGTAGGTGCGCCTGACCTGGTAGAATCATCAGTGTGACCTTCATATATGAACCACACCCATATAAATATACTATATAAAACACACCATAAACTACGACAAAGCAAAAAAGCTTTTATGCTCTTGACTAATTTATTATTGAAACGCAAAAACCGTGTTCATAACGTAGTTGATGACAAACTGTACTCAAAAAAGACCAGAACAAAGAGGGAGAAAATAGTAACTAAAATAGATGGTCAAATTCTAAACTGAAGAAAGCTAATTTAAATGCGCATTAAATCATAAGAATCACATCAAATGGAATATAGGCAACAAGCCTCTATTTAAATTCAGCTAGTCAATAATTAAGCAAAATATTTTATGTCTTATAATTCCTCAGAAAAAGATAAAAGTTTCGGAGCATCGATACAAGATAGAAGAAACTCATTAAAATTATGTAATTACTAGTTTCATCAGTGACAATCAAATTATATTTACAAAGTCTAAATATAAATAGTCAATAATTCAATGCAAACAGTAAATAATTAGATGATGGAAATATTTGAGGAAAACCCAACTTGCTCGCCTTGTGACATTCCACTTGTCCACTTCAATATTACCAGATATAATAAGTGACGACGATCATACTCCAAATATGACAACTCGTTCGGACCATAAATGGAATATGATGAATAAGCTTCATGGAGTTTTAATTGTAATATTTAAATAAAAACTTATTAGTAGTTTCCACAAAAATAAAGCGAAGAGAGAAAAAAGTGCAATAGGGACGCACCTTTGGCGTTTGAAACAAAAGATTCTTATAGTTTGCCGCGCTGACCAATCAATTCTAGTCGCCGACCTAAACGCAGCCGGACATAATGATAAGAAACGCACAGTTTTGCAATTTATATAAATGTTGAGAACATTATCATCGACAGATGTTATTTTTTTAGTAAAACGAATTGAACCCAAAATTAATAACAAATAAAGTAACTTGTAAGATTAACAAATGATCGTCTACCATTCACTATCTGCTAGTACACACCAACATTGATGTTTGTTATATAGGACGAACTCATAATAACTAACACTTGACATATAAATTGAAGGCGCACTTATAACGAATACAAATCACTTCTATTAGAAACTGAGGAACTGAATAAATGAGACCCTGATACAAGAGCAATTAAGGTTACAACAAAGTAAGAATGACCGCGTCTATTGTAAAGGAGTGAAAGTCAAATAAAAAAGCATGAATAAGATCCTGAATAGAATATTTAGTGTTATTGTTTGAAGAAAGTGTAAATAATTAGTTAGAGATAATCCTTCTATCTTTCAGTGTAAAGATGGGATTACATTTATATGACGATGCTCATATCTTATTGGGGAGAAAACAATATAAATATTGCCTAAGAAGATGTAACCATCAAGGTCAATTGAAATAATGATGATAAAAATATGATAAGACTAGATAAGTTTAAGCCACTCAAAGATTCGATTAGCGTAACAAAAGATCCTTTAAAAAGCCATTTTGCAACATTCCATTGCACGCACACACCATCTAAAGCAAAAAAAAAAAAAAAAAACTCCACTGGTAAAACTATTTTAATATCGCGAATGATAAATAAAACGTCACGGGGATATTCCACGAACCAACACACTGGCACTGTTTCAAAATATTCAGCGAACGCGGTGAAAGATTTTTATATTTTTTAAGTAAAAAATTCGCATAGGACTCTTTGCATGCGTGCGCGCATCGTCCACGCTGCCACCAAAACAACTGGCGGCCGCCGCGGTGCCAGCTCGTCTCGACCACCAAGCCAGGTCATTGCCAATTACAATACCAGTTTCAAAAAAGGTAAATAAATATTATTTAACAGTCCTGGTAATGTTATACTCTTTCTTTTAT